AATCAACTCTTTGTATCAGCTGGCCAAAGTATTGGAGCTTCAGCATCAGTCCTTCCAATGAATATTCAGGGTTGATTTCCTTTAGGATGGACTAGTTTCATCTCTTTGCAGTCCAAGGACCTCTCAAGAGTCTTCTCCAGCATCACAGTTAGAAAGCATCAATTAATTCTTCAGTGCTCAGCCTTTTTTATGGTCCAACTCTCACATCCAAACATGACTACTGGAAAAACCATATCTTTGACCATATGGACCTTTGCTGACAAAGCGGTATCTTTGTTTTTTCATACACTGTCTAAGTTTGTCATAGCTTTTCTTCCAAGAAGCAAGCGTCTTCTAATTCCATGGCTGCAGTCACCATCCACAGTGATTTTTGAGCCCAAGAAAAGAAAATCTGTCACTGCTTCTACTTTTTCCCCTTTTATTTGCCATGAAGTGATGGGACAGGATGCCATGATCTTAGTTTCCTTAATGTTGAGTTTGAAGCCAGCTTTTTCACTGTCCTGTTTCACCCGCGTTAAGAGGCTCTTTAGTTCCTCACTTTCTGCCATTAGAGTGGTATTATGTGTATATCCGAGGTTGTTGGTATTTCTTGCTGCAATCTTAATTCCAGCTTGTGCTTCATCCAGCCTGGCATTTCACATGCTGTACTCTGCATACACGTTAAATAAACAGGCTGACAGTATACAGCCTTCTCATACTCCTTTCCCAGTTTTGAACCAGGCAGTTGTTCATGTAAGGTTCTAACTGTTGCTTCTTGACCTGTATACAGGTTTGTGGCATGAAAGGACACTTTTATTTGAATATTTCACATTATATGTAGTACATATATGATATTTCACATATGTAGTGTGTATATCTTGTAGCATGTTTCCTCCAAAAAATCCCTCCATGAAAAGAAGCTCCAGTGTATTCTTTTTATTAATTAATCATCCAACAGAGAGATGATGAAAAGCCACTCTTTTTCTTGTTATTTCATCCAAGATGAGGTACTAAAATTACACCTCAATGATGTCTATTATGACTGAAAATAAATTTGAAAGTGGAGACACTTTCTATCTCTGATTCCCAACCACATCTTCTGAATGGCATCTAAGATCTGTTTTTCAAACAGCAGATTGTGAAGTCATTTTAATGGATATGAAAAATTGTCATTATTTTTTAAATCAAATAGAATGTATTTTCTTACAGTGGGCTCTGGTCAAAGGGTGTGAATATACCTTTCCCCTGGTTACAAGGAAGGGAGTGCCACCAACTCTACCCTTAATGATGCAACCCTGTAACCTTGGTTTTGCAGCCCTCACTAAGACCTCCTTGTGTTAGCCTCTGATATCGGTGGTGGAAGTGTCAGAGATGTACAGAAAATAATCCATTAGGCCTTTCATGCAGAACTCATCACATATTCAGAACTTATCCAGTTATAACATTAGCCTCTCAATGTGAGAAAAAAAAGTTCACTGGGGGAGATATTTTATTTATTGCTAACTGGCTACATTTTCCATTTCCCTTTCCATGGTGTGAAAATGTTCCTGAAAGCTCGCTGTTGAGGGAGAGAGATGCAGAGTTTAGGCCCATCTTCTCACAGTTCAGTGTCTCCCTTTCTGTTCCGGGGTCCGTCCTCAAAAGCACAGAACTGTGTGCAAAGGGAAAGTGAGAGAAGGGCTGGGGGAGCAGGAAGGAAGTAGGGACTTTCCCTGGTCTTTCCTAATCCTTCAGTTCCAAGGGCTTAGTTGGTATTTCAGAATTTTGAAATAAAACCTGCTCTTAGAATTAATGCAAATATTACTCAGTGATTCATCCTTTCCAAATAATTCTTGATTTCATCTGACATTTTATTTTTAAATCATAAATTAACAGTGACATCACTCCCAGGGTGCTGTTACCTCAGCTCTTCACAGGGAACTGTCTTACAAAGGCCAAGTTCAGATTTTAACCATCATCCATATCTCTTGGACTGCTTTTGGGCTTTTGAAACTATGATCTTTTGGTACAGGTTTGTACATAAATCATAGAGAAGATACTGGAGGGAGGACTGTATGTAATTGGGTGTTTTTCCAGTGATTTGATTTAGAGATCTTTGAGATTTTCACTGCAGTGGTGATCATGATAATAACTGCATCAGTTCTAATCAAGTAGATTTAGTTGCATTTTTAGAATTAGGGTCAGGCCCACCTTACATTAAATCAAAGGTCAGGAAATCATCCACAGGTTTAAATATATATGTTCAGTTCAGTTCAGTCACTCAGTCGTTTCCGACTCTTTGCGACCCCATGAATTGCAGCACGCCAGGCCTTAAATATATATGTAAAATCAGTGGAATCAAGATTCTGAACAGGTTTTGTCAGTTTAACAAACCAGCAGCCTCCTTTTGCTTTTGAAGAATGTGGGCTAAGATTAGAGGATTCAGGTGATGAGCCCACATTAAAGGCAAAAAAAATAAATAATTGGTCTTAATATTTTTCTTGGAAGCTAAGGCTTCTGTGGTGTTCTGAGAATAAGAATTTTTCACGTGGAATGTTGTAACTGGTGTTAGCCCTATGTTTCAGTGTAAGACTATTTGCTATCATTCTGCTTTTTTTTTTTAATATTTATTTACTTCTTTTTAATATTTATCTATTGAAACTCTTGGTTGCGCTGGGCTTCTCTTGTGGCTCAGCTGGTAAAGAATCTGCTTGCAGTGCGAGAGACCTGGGTGCGATTCCTGGGTTGAGAAGATCCCCTGGAGAAGGGAATGACTACCCACCCCAGTATTCTGGCCTGGAGAATTCCATGGACTGTGTAGTCCATGAGGTTGCAAAGAGTCAGACATGACTGAGTGACTTTCACACATTTGGTTGCTCTGGGTCTTGGTTGCAGCATCTTTAGTTGTGACATGAGGGATCTTTTAGTTGTGGTATGTGGGATTTAGTTCCCTGACAAGGGATTGAACTTGGGTCCCTACACTGGAGCATGAAATCTTAACCACTGGACCACCAGGAAAGTCCCTAGTATTCTTTATGTAACTGAAAATCATGCTAATGAATATTTAATTTGGATATATATGGAAGTCCATATTAAAAATCTGCACTTGAGTTCTGATGTAGGTGATTTGTTCTTTGAATAAGCATTTATTAGCTGACTAACGTATTCTGAGCAGAATTCTATTTCTTTGAAAGGCCCATCCCCCATCAAAATCTTTCATATTGCAGATAAGGAAACACAGGACACTGTAGGTTAGTTGTATATCCAAAGTCACACACCCAGCAGTGGCAAAACTCTTGACTTTCAAATGACTTAATTCTTCACTGTATCAGGTCGATTTTCCCCCTTTAAGCTGGCCTTAATCAACTACAGCTGTTTGTAATTTGTTAGTCAGTTTCTTGTTTTCAACATATATTTTTCCTGCAAATCTGCAGGAGTTCTTGCTGTGGAGAACTCAGAGCTGCCCTTTCCCCCTTGCTGAAGTTGGGCGTGTTCTGCATCCCCCAAGGAACCCTCCAATGCTCCCCAACCCCTGCCCGGTCACAGCGCTGTAGTAGGAGGGGATCTCACTGGAATTTCAGGTCCCCTTGGGCGGATTTTGGATCGTTGAATGATATATTCCTTAGAGTGAGGGCTGAATCATTTTAACAGAGACCCGACGGTACTCTGGGTTAAGCAACAGGGGAGCTGATTCCTTTCTCACACCATCATTCAGCTGCCATTCATCATTATGTAGGTGGTAGAAGCCAGATCTTTTCCATATCTAGATTTTATCCAGAGGGAAAGAGAAGAAACAAAAACACTGAGGAAGGATGTCAAGAGCTTTAAGGCCAGACCTGGAAATGGCACACAGTAAATAGTTCTGACATGCCACTGGCAAGCGTTTCTTCAAATGACCGTCCCTAACTCCACAGGCATGTGGGGTGTACTCTGACTGAGCCTGCTTCCAGCTACAAGTCTATTACTGAGGGAAAGGAGAGGACAGCTTCTGGTGGACCGCAGACAGCTTTAGGGCAGCCTCCATCTCAAGTGCCCTTGAATGCTCTATAGACTTCATGAAGAAAAAGAGAAAAGTTAGCCTCAAGTTAATACTTTCAACTGTGTGTTTTTAAATCTTCTAATTTTTTCAGGGACTATGTCTAAAATTTGATCTAAGTAAATTTAACTACAGTTAACTCAAGTTAACCTATACATATTTAAAATAATGAGTACTTCTTAAGGAAATCCAAAATGGTGTGTGATTTTTAAACACTTTTTTAATCTGGTCATGTGGCTCTTCATTTTTGTCAGGGCCTTTGGGTAATAGAAGATTGCTAGGGCCTTTGATGTATTGACATCTGGCTGGGTTGAGTAAATCTGAGACTCTAGCCTTGATAATAAAAGGCTCTTACGTTCATGCCTTTTGACTGCACATTTAATGCCAGTGTTTCTACACCGCTCTGACAGTGAGAGGAGGTGGCCTGAGACAGCGGAGGGTTCTGGAGGACAGAGCGCTGCGCACGGCGGCTGTCCTCCCCTCATGCTGGACAAAGCACTGACCCGGCCCTGGATGGCCAGACGGCTCCCTCTGCCTTTCTCAACTCAAGTGGCACGTAGAAAGTGGTGGGAAAGTTCTAGGACCAGGACAGAATTCACGAAGGCTTAGAAAACAACCTACACAAAGAGCTCAGTGAATCTTTGAAGTCTGGATGGCAACAAAAAGAAATGGCCTCTAAGAAATCTAATGGCGTGATTTCTGTACAGAGGATGAAGGCTAGCTGTGCCAAACTCCAGGACACTGTTGTGAGGTTGACATAAGGGTTGTGGGTTATACGTAACTGGTAATTCCTTGATTATGCAATCTTTCTACTGTTAGACTTAGATTCCCAAGAGGGACTACACAGTAATTCCTCCTAAGGTCTTAAGAAAGGGGGGGAGGGGAGTGTGTTGGTTATATTTGGTCTTACTGGAATAATACAGTTTACTCCTTCATAGTGGAATTTTTATGGTTCATTCCAGTCTTAACAGTTCGGTTTTGTATTCTTTTGATGCACAGCTCCAGAATGGCAGAAGACGACCCATATTTGGGAGGGCATGACCAAGTAAGTAGTAGTATAATCTTGCTAATAATTTTTATAACAACAGTAACTATCAGGAAAACTCTTAAAAGTGGTAAAAATTTATTTTTCATGTCCATTTACATAATGTCTTAAGAGGACGTGCTGTGTAAAACAACAGTATCCCTGCTGTCACAATATTGGAGCATGAAAGTTACACATGCAGCTGGTCAAATGATAGCTGTTTCTTATGGCTGCTGTAACACATGACCACAAATGGGGTGACTTAAAACAACAGATACATGTGTTCCCTCTCAGTTCTGGAGGCAAGAAATTCGAAAGCAAGATGGCGACAGGATTGGTTCCTTCTGGAAGTTCTGAAGGAGAACCTGTGCTTCTCCCCTAGCTTCTGGTGGCTATTGGAAGTCCTTGGCATTCCTTGGCTTGTAGCTGCTCCTCTCCAGCACATTCCTTCTTCTCTTTGTCTCCTCTGTATCTCCATACCCAAATCTCCCCCATCTTTTCTCTTATAAAAGTACCAGGCAGTGGATTGAGGGCCCATTCTTCAGGATGACCTCATCTCAATTTGATCACATTTGCAAAGACCCTATTTTTAAGTAAGGTCACATTCACAGGTATTAGGAATTAGGACTTGAACGTATCATCTTGCGGGGAGGCCAAAGTATTTATTTAAAACTCATCTAATGAGGAGGCAGACTGGTATAGTGAAAAGGACTTAGAATTCAAAGATCTTAAGTAAGTGCTGACTGCTCTTAAAACTTGAGGAATCACTTAGCACCCCCACCCTCACCCCACCCCATGCTCACATACAGGGCTGTTTAAAAGACTAAATGAGCAATGAATGTGCTTTGGGGACATGAAACTGTTCATTATAATTATATTAGCAATTATAAAGGGATACTAGTGTCCTTTTTTTTCTCCTAATGTCATACTTGAAAAATTTCAATTTCAAGCCTATAGAAATGTTGAATAGTCCAGCAAATCTTTGTTGGTTGTTAATATTTTGCTTTATACATATATGTGTGTGTGTACACACACAGAGAAAGAAATTTATATATAGTGTGTGTATATATATGTGTGTAATGAACCATTTGCAAGCAATTTTCAGACTCTAGGGTAATTGGAATGGCAATATTAAGAGTATTTAAAATAGTGACATTTATTCACTCATGATCTATTTATTGAGACATCACTATGTACCAGAACATTGGCTAAGGAAGGATACAAAAATGTGACACATTTCAGGAAGCTGCCATTTTTCTAGTATGAGGGACAGAGACATGAATAGTCTCCCTGTGGTAATGAGGACTGTAGTAGTAGTCTGCATGCAGCGGGACACAAATGTCGAGAGGGAAGAAGGGCATGGTTATGGAGCCATTCCAAACGCAGTCTGTGTAAGCTGAGATGTGAAAGGTGTAGTTTGCTAGACAGAGACAAACAAGTTTGCTAGACAAAGGCTGGACAAAGAGAGGGAGCAGTAGGTACCAGGATATCCTGGTCCAAATTTCATAATCATTTCACACTTTAGCCACCTAAAAAAATGTATTTCTCAAATTTATGCATGTGAAGAATTGGTCAGGAAACCAAAAATGAAATGTTTTTTGAGGGATCTAGTATTACTTCTTTAAATAAAATACTTACATAACATTCATTACTCTTCATAATGTTCTCATTGATTTAGAAAGAATGAGTATGCATTACTTTTCATATTAAGATGCTTCTTTTAAATTTTATTGTACAAATGATACAGGATAAATCTAGCAGCATTTTCTTTGATTAGAGCATGACAAACATTTGGCTGCTCATATTATCAAAAACCTGTGCTTTACCTTTCACTTTTAGTATGCTGTCCCTAACAAAGGCAAACACTAACCAACATTAGGGTTGGTCAGCTTGGTTTTAAACCATGCTTTCCTGTCTATGCACAGGAAATCCTATCAGCAAGAGATGGTCCTTTATGCCATCTTTATGGCATCTTTATGTCCTTTACTCTTTACAAGAGTAAAACCCGCTGAAAAGAGTAATTTTGAAAGCTTTTCTTTGTGGGCATTTTTGTCAGCACCAGAGGTGGGGACATGTTCTGATACTTCCATTTTTAAAGAGAGAGGTCCTTGAGGTTTGAGTTTTTTCCCCCTTGTCTCAAGATTAATGATTTATATTTCCTGAAGTTTACATGTCTTCAGTGAGGTCCTTGAAGTTTTAATGTGTTCTGGGATCTACTCCCCACCCCTAGCCTAATGCACATGTAAGCTGCAGCACATGCCACTGCTTTGCTCTTCTTGTCTGAAGTAGGGCTGTGTCTCTCCTGAGATCAAAGTTTTTGCCCTTTAACCAGTCATTTCCTGCAGGATTGCAGGAAAGTTTTTTGTTCTGCTAGATCATCTCTTCTGCTCTGAGACTGGTAAATTCTTGCTCTAAGACGGGGCCAATTTTTATAACAACACGTTTTTTCATTCCTTTATTTCCCTTTCAGCAAACAGTGAATAGTGTAAATGAACTTTACTCCTGAGCATAGATGTGAAACACATTTATTGTTGCTCAACTGAAAATTTGCATACCTCACAACTGGATCTGAAGCGTTCTTTGTTTAAATACTGTGTTTCTTAGTCTTGATTTAACTAGACATACTATTGATAGATTCTTAGGTACCCAAGAATGTCCAATAATATACTAGTAAAGAAAAGGAGTAAAACATTGGTGTTTATTTTTAATGCCTGATCCAGCACATTTACTAACTAGTGTATTATAAAAACTGAAGTATGTTTGATTTCTGTGCTGTCCACAGACATTTCATGGATGACTTATTTAGACTGAAATAAATACAAAACTCAGAAATACAAATTTTAAATCCTGAATGAACTAAGTAGGAAGGAAATATTACTCTTGGGATAAGTCATTTTTAGTAGCATTTCAAGATAGATTATAATTCAATCACAATATGTTGTTTACCCACTGTATTGGTTTCCTGGTGATCCTGTAACAAATTGCCACAAATTTAGCAGCTTAAAAAACACAAATTCTCTTACAGTCTGGAGGTCAGAAGTCCATAATCAAGGTTTGGCAGAGCTGTGTTCCTTCTGAAAGTTTTCCTTACCTTTTTGAATATCTAGAGGCTGCTTGCCTTTTTTGGCCTGTGACCCACCCCTTCCATCACTTTAGCCTCCTATTTCCATTGTTACATCTCCTACCTTTCACTTTGATCTCCTGCATCCCTCTATCAGGCCCGGCCTGGATAATTCAGACTAATCTCTCCATCTCTGTATTCATTAGGAGATAGCATTCCAGATTCTAGGGGTTGGGATGTGGGTGTATTTGGGGGAGCCATTATTCAGCATATCAAACCCACTAAATTCCAGGTATTTTCATTATGCCAGGTAAATGAAGATGAGAAATAAAAAAAGATGAGGGAGCTCAGTGCTCAGTTAATCTGCTTTTTGGAATAAGTTATATTTTGAGTTTTTCTATAAATTGTTCCAGGGCTGCTCACTGTCTGAATCTTTTGGGATTTGCAATTGGATGCTAGAGTAGGAGTTTATTTACCGTTATAAAAGAAATACAGATTTCTAGGATTATATTCTCATGTTTATATTTCTAAGAGAGTATAAGCCTTAAATCATTTATTCAACAAATATTTAAGTACCTACTCTGATAAATATACACTGGACCCTGCAGATATACCAGTAAGCAAACTACACTAGGTCCTTATCTCCGTGGACTGTACGCCTGGGTTGTTCTTCTGAAATCCCTTTGTCACACAACCATAGCCCAACCCCATGTAAAGTTCTATACACATGACAACTTAGGTTTCCTGAGCATATTTTTAAAATTCTGATTTAAAATATTTTCAGGTCTTTGTTTTTGTTTTTTAGTTTTTCTCACTGTAATTAAGTTTTAGGTTTTTCAGATTTCTAATACAGTGTTGGAAAAGTAATGATTGAAATATTTAAATTTTCCTTTTTGTAGATGTTTCATCTGGATCCTCTGAATCATACAATGTTTAGTCCAGAATTATTTCAACAGGAGATGCCACTGCCAGCAGGTAAGAAAATTCTTCATCTATTGCCTATCATTTTGCTTTTGCTTTTTTTAAAATTTGATTTTTTATACACTCTTTTATGAAGTCAGTGGGTTACCTAGAAAGTAAATGGTTATCTAGAAAGGAAATGGTGATTTATGTTTTAAAAGTCAGTTTTCAGTATACTTTTTTGGACTACATTTTTTTTTCTTTTTTGGACTACATTTGCACAAACATGTTTGATCCGAGTTACCCATTGTATCGGAGAAGGCAATGGCAACCCACTGCAGTCCTCTTGCCTGGAAAATCCCAGGGATGGAGGAGCCTGGTGCGCTGCCATCTATGGGGTCGCACAGAGTTGGACACGACTGAAGCGACTTAGCATCAGCAACAGCAGCCCATTGTATGACTGATAATTGTTGCTCATATCTGCTAGCACAGCTCAAAAGGAACTTCTTTACTGTGTGGGATTTTTCTCCTTTCACCCAGTCTTGTTATCTCTAGGGTCTTTGTAACTCCTGTTTCCTTTGCCCCAGGCACATGAGGCAGTCTCTCAGATCTGTTCCCAAAACACTTACTTGAGTACCTATTGTGTGCCAGCTAGTATACCACACACCAGGAACATAAAGTGTACAAAAGTCATAAAAGTCATCTCGGTAGAAAAATTACTTTTTAAAAAACTTCTTGTTTTATGTTCTGACCAATTGGATAAACTCATGATAATCATCTATCCTTCTAACATGACTGTTAAGTATCCCCATCAACAAGTTATTTAATCTCATATGAATGATTTTTAAAAAATCAGTCTCTGTTTTTATTTATTGCTTTTTATGTAAGCTTGCTGTGATAGCTCTTTTTATGTGTTCCTCACATCACCAGAGGGACTTAACAGATGTTCAAAAGCTGTGTGACTAAATTTTGGAAGTTGTATATAAAAGAGAGTTTTGTAACTACTGAAGTACATTAGCTATTCTATTTACTATGGACTTGCTTATCATCAATGGGAGACTTCATGCAATTTGTATTGTTGTCATTTAAAATTGCTGTTATTACTTTGTGCTTTTCATTTTTTATATCAGGTGTTCTTTTGCATTTTTATATCTATTATTTCTAGAAGTTCATGCAAGGGAAAAAAATAGACCTGCTAAACCTTCAGCTTTATTAACTTCACTAAGTGTATTGCTGAGTCCTTTCTTTACTCTATAGATCATAGCTGAGATGTCCTCAAGTGTTGTCCAAAATAAGCTCTAGATCAGCTTCCTGTGAGTTATTAAATGTCTTGGTAGCTTCTGCGTTTTCTGTGATCTTCTTATTCTGGGGGTCAAAGTCTTTTTCTTGGTTCTGGTGCTTTATTGAAAACATAAAAGTTACTGCCCTCAGGAAACATATACTTTTCCATTTAATGGCTTATAGATGCCAAACAGTATCCTGATGCAAAGGATTTCCTAATATTTTTATTTCATCAAGTTAATTGAACCAGCTCAGTAAATATTCTGTAGTCAGAGTTTCATGTTATAGGAATTATTTAGCCATAATATTAGAAAAAGGCTTCCCAGGTGGCACTCCTGGTAGAGAACTTGCCTGCCAATGCAGGTTCGATCCCTGGGTCAGGAAGATCCCCTGGAGGAAGGCATCACAACCCACTCCAGTATTCTTGCCTGGTTAATACCATGAATAGAGGAGCCTGGCAGGCTACTGTCCATAGAATTGCAAAGAATCAGACATGACTGAAGCGACTTGGCATGCATGCACCATTAGAAAAACTTTTACAATTATACTCAAAATTGTGTTTTCCAGTTATTACCTCATCATTTTTTATTGTCACATACATGTTCCCTCTGCATTGCAATGGCATACTTCAGTTTTTTTATAAACCAAGATTTATGGATGTTTATTCACATTTTAAAGGAATGGAGAGGTTATATAAACCAATATTGACTTGTAATTTTCATATGGACTGTTTTATCTTCTGTATTTCTTGAAATCTAAAACCATGCTACTTGTTGAAAACTCTATGGGATATGGCACAACTGCTAGGTCTATAATATCATGCTGTAATTTAAATTACTCTGCACAGTAGGATGTCAATTCATGGCATGGAAATGCAGCCAAAGAAAATTGGCATTAAAACAAATATATGCATAGCAAATCTCATTTTCTAGTTGATTTAACGTTTTAGTGTATTCCCTGAAAGAGAAAAATTGTCCCTTTTCACTAATAGAACTACCAAGCCTCAATATTTCATGTATTTAGAAGAAATTAAACCATACAGCAAAAATAATAACAAAACTTCAAGTATTTTTCAAAGAGTTACTAAGAAGTGAGAGACTTGAAGTCTGATGTAAATGTGCTCCAGTTCCTCTGTATTTTCCATGATATCCAAATGTTGCTTAATTTTTTTTTTTTGCTGAAGTATGGTTGATTTAACAATGTTGTGTTAATTTCTGCTGTGCAGCAAAGTGATTCGGTTATACATATGTATACATTTTTCATATTCTTTTCCATTTTGGTTTATCACAGGATATTGAATGTAGTTCCCTGTGCTATATATAGTAGGACCTTGTTGTCAAATGTTGCTTTCTTAAAGATTTCACTTCTTCATATTTTCATTTAGTTTTCTAGAGAGAATGTTTATGAATAGATTTGTTGAAATGTTGTGTAGACCTTATTTAGCAGTGTGAAAATATTTATGTTTCTAATCAGTTTTATCTCCTTAGAAATTAAATTCTAGTCATTTTTTTGAATTTTAAAATTCTAACAGTTCCTTTTCTAAAAAGTAGTTGAATATATCCAGGAACTAATTTCAGACAGAAAAGAAAAGGTAATTTACCTAAATTATATAGCATTGGTCAGTCCCTACCCTTTTTTCTTTTCTTGTGTATGTTTCAGTTCAAATTCAGTTATTTTTCAACTGACTTCCTTGTAAACTTCTTGAATAATAACAGGAAATAATTATACCTTAGCTTCCTACAGTTCTCTGCCTTATCCTGATTCATCATAGTGCTGAAAATAAACATAAATCCTCTCTCATTTATAGTTTACTTTTAATTTCAATCTGAAAGTTCAGCTCTTCTTCATAAACTTATTTATCTAAAATAATAAGTCCTGATCATCTGGCCTAGAGACAGTGAAGATTGAAATGGACACAGAAGCATCCTCCTAGAAATTTTTTAGTACCATTTAAATTTACATTCAAACAAGTGAGAAACACTATGAGCCTTTATGTATCACAGAGCTATGGGTTATTATACTTTGATATAACATAAAAACCAGCTGGGAAGCTTAGGGAGTAAGCTTCATATTGAATATTCATATTGAATAAATTTGTATTTATACTGTCAGAGATTTTTATTTTCCTTTGAGTTTCTAAACTCAGGTATAGTCAGGCTATCATTAAACTTCTAGTAATCTTTGTTCTTATTAGTTGGTATACATCCATCTAAATTATTTTCAGAATTTTATAAAACACTTATTTTGGAACAGAGTTTATATGAAAGTACAATGTTCAAAAATTGTACACAAACATCAAAAGCTATGAGTTAATAAGAAGAATCTACCATGTCTGATAGACCAAATTAACTATGGGAAAGAGGAGGAACAAACTAGCCAGTTAGGGAATGAGGGCAGTACCTATGGATTCAGGTATTGACAGGGAACCCAAAACTTGGTGTAATGAAAAGCAGGTAGCCTGAGATCGTCATCTGTGTGTTTCACACATGTAGGTTGCTAGCTCAGTCTCTTGTAATTTCACATTAAGCACGTTTTCTTGTGAAGAATGGAAGTCAGTGTCTGATGCTGTGATGGCAAAAGAAAATTTCACAGTGACCAGGAAGTGGTTGCTGCTTTTAATTGGTATTTGTGTCATTATTAAAAATGCTTTGTTAGTGGACATGACTGTGAAGGTTGTTGACGTCGTAATTCTTGCCAGACATCATGCCTTTTGTTGGGTTGTGCAAGATGCCATCACCGTTCAACAGACGTCTCTACAGTATGGTTCTCTCTAATGGTGTAAAACTGTTATTAAATAAGGTAAATTTAATATTCAGAAGAAGAAGATATGCCTTGTGGAATTTTAGCTAAGACATTTATTTGAAGCCTCTGTTTAAAAACATAATTTCAGTTTTTTTTACTTGCTTTGAATATATATATACATACATACATATATATATATATATATTTTTTTTTTTTTACCAAATTTGAGAAGCCTCACAGTTTCTTTTGGTTTCTGTTTGTTGTTTTGTTTTTAGCAGATGGCCCATACCTTCAAATATTAGAGCAACCTAAACAGGTAAGAAGACTAAAGGGGTGGGACTTTCTCTTTAATTGTTAGATCCATAAGTCTAATATTAATACCTCAAGCACTGAATAAAATAGTAAATGAATTTTACAAAGGAAGTAGCTTATCTAGAAGATCAACAACCTGTCAAATTATTTAACAATTGTATCATTGACTTTCCTTTTCTGTTAGTCATTGTTCAGACTGTCCTGAACCTCAGTACATAGTTCTATAAAACTTAAGTATTGATCCATGGTATCCCATGATCTCCAACACTTTGACTTACCAGTCACTCCTAGAAGAGGTGTAGGTTATCTTCACTCATTTTCATTTATAAGGAAATACACATACATGCAGTTCACATCACTGAGTCAGATGCTTCCTCCATGTCCCTGCACATCAGTACTTGTGAGCCTTTCTCCATCCTTAGGAGCTACAGCCTTTTCTATTTGGAACATGTAACCTAAGTTACTAATAGTACCAGTAGGGTGTCGATAAAGTCCTAGAATAGACGGTCGAGTTCTCTCGGGTCTTAGCTTTAGGTCTGGCCTCTTCGGAGTCGGGAGAGGAGCATTTTATTTTATTGTGCTCTTCCCTGGCGGCTCAGACAGTAAAGAATGTGCCTGCAATACGGGAAACTAGGGTTTGATCCTTGGGTCGGGAAGATCCCCTGGAGGATAGCATGGCAATTTACGCCAGTATTCTTGCCTGGAGAATTCCATGGACAGAGGAGCCTGGTGGACCATAGTCTGCGCGGTCGCAGAGTCAGATGCGACTGAAGGATTTCACTTTCACTTTCCTCTTACTATGATTATTTAGAGAGGATACCTGGGAATTGAAATGGCTTCCTTACCATGTCCCCATGGGTAAATAAATATTTATTGGAAATTGGATGGGACCAGTGCTATGAAAGAGGGGGGAAGAGAATCTTTAATATCTTCCCATAGTTATTAAGGGATGAAGTAATAGTATAGTCCTCTGTAGAATGAGGACAAAGTTAGTAGATCTCTTACCGGATATGCATATTATCACACCTATGTGAGACTGAGGATGCATGTGCCTGCTTTCTTGCAGCTGTATCACCCAGTACTTTTCCTAAATGTTTTTAGTAGCTCAGGCAAGTAAGCGTAACACTTTTGTATTTGTAACACTTAACAAATGCTAACTATGTCAAGATCTTAAGGTATACATGTGGTTATTGTAATCATCGTATTACATATGTATTTGGATTTTGGTTAGAATATAAAGGATATGAATATCTTATCTATGACCAAATAGACTACACTTATGAGGTTGAACTTTGATAAAAGTTCTTGGTGTGGGGACTGGAATACCATATGAGACTTTGGGACATTGTTCTAATGGCTCACAGGTGACACACCCTGACTCCACAGGCTGCTGACATGACTTTGCTCTATCCCCATTCCCAATTCCCTATCAGAGCGGTGAGTTCTCACAGGAGGCCGCCAGTTTTCTCAAAGGACCCTTGCAGTGGAAGTTATCCCCTAACATCCTGTGCAGTGTTACCTGGCCTCCTGGGAAATTTCTGGATAATCCATGAAACCAAGAAATCAACTAAAATTTATTTGTCTGCATACTAGGCAAAATGTGTTTTTCAAATATTCATTTTCATAAGCATAGAGCTACCATAAGGTTTTTAAAATGCAGTTTCTTACTATGGGTCAATAGTCATAAGGAAAAATTGACGTTTATGATTTACCTGAAGGGTGAGTTATGTAGTTCCAAAATTCAAAATTTAATTCACTGTTGGTGGATGTGTTAAAGCTTATCTGAGTAAATCATTGTGCTTGCTTACCAAACTGTAATATTGTGATGTCTGACTCCAGTGAAAGTAAGAAGGTTGTATTGAAGTCAGACTTTCTGACCGGATGGATGGAGCCTTGCCTTTGAGGTTGATGACTCATTTTAAGCAAGTGGAGTTACTGAGATGAATGGCTGTGGATTGGCAAACCTTTAACCTCAAAAATTTAGAATCTGAAATGCATCCTGACTATGCATTTGAAGACATCCTAGTTTCCTTTTAAAAATAATAATAAATTTCTATCTTCAGGTTATAAATTCCTTTGCATAGAAGTTTAGATACTTTTATCCAACTATGAATGATATATGTTGTTTTTCAAATGATAAGCAAGGTATTAAGACAGGTCTCTTTACTCATATTTTACTGAATGCCACTCCTAATAAGATGTAATAGTATATGTTTCTCCAACATAAAGTCCTAAAGTAACTTTATGATTAAAGATAATTAATTACTTTATTGTTTTAAAAATAAAATCTAGAAAAATTTTCTTTTTTCTTTGGCGTCTCTGCCACAATTTTCCCCAGCTTTGGCAGAGATGAGTCATAGCATAGACCACTACTGATCTTTAGGACAGCTAGTTCTGTTGCATATTATTAAGTGCTAATTATCTAATATTGTTTAAAAGCTGAAGTTGTGTTTAAACTGATTAGCAGTCAAGTAAATCCCTATTTTATGGTTAGCCAATTCTGGAGGCTGACTGTTGCCTTTTCATGCTTTTAGAAATTTCACTTAATTATTGAAAATAAGCTAATAGCCTTTGACTATAAAAGGTATACGGCTGAATTTGTAATTTATTTTTTAGTTCGAATTTTGTGAGAAGCAAAACAAGGAGAGTCACCTTCAAATCACTCATCTTACCTCAGAAGGCTTTCCAGGTGTTGAGGTTTGAGGTCACCTAAGGAGCCCTTTTCAAGAGTTGTCTTAGGCCCCACTTTAATGAGTTGACCATGTACCCCAGGCCCAGGTGTGACATGAAATAGCTTCCTCCCCTAGGGAATTTATGTCAGGTCTCATTGGTCCCATAAAATATGCTTTAGACTGGTCTTCTTTGGCGATTAGAAAAGTCTCACAGAATTTAGAAGCAATTCCAGGTGCTTTCCCTAAACCTCTCAGGCTGTTTTTTAAGACCCTATGAGGCATAGTGAAATGACATACAGTGTAAGGAGGGCAGACATTTACATAGTCCATTAGCTTAAAGCCGTCAAAACCTGTATATTCGCTGAGCTCCACTACCCAGCGTGCAGAGTAGAAAGCTGCCCCCCCACAAGTAGTGGCGTGTGGAGCTTCTGAGGGCCTAAGCATCTAGCACTGCTTATATGAAGTCAGTCCCACAATAAAATAAATGAAAGGTGAGAATGTTCCTTAAAGTGTATTAACATATTCTTTTCTTTAAAGGGTTTTATTTGAAAAATGGAAGACCATCTGGTCAAGAGACTGTATAAATACTACCACAGATTGTTTGATATCTTTATAAAGCTGAGTCTTTCAGGAAAAATGTTGAAGTCTCCCTTAATATGATGAGAGCCATTCTCATAAATGTCTTTGTTTTATTCTTTGTATGCAAATATGCACAATTACAGCTGTTAGCTTTTTAAGTCATAAAATGTTAAAACTGGAGTAGACCTTGAATATGGTCTGGTCAAATCTTCTTACTTGCATAGATAAAAAAATACATGGAACTCAGGTGTTTATCAGCCCACATAGTAAAGGCTTCTTGCTAATTCCTAGTTGATATTACTGTGTCTGTAAAATTTCTTGAGTTAATATATAAAGGGACTCTCTGGGTTTGGATTCATTCAGGTCAGTTAATATATCCACTTGAACTTGATAGTACTAATAATCTTAAATCGAAACTTCTTACCTTCTGAACTGTTGAGAGTTACCAAGCAGATGTGGGGCCTTGCATAGGGTGTGTTCTATAACTATGGTGGGGTATATTTAACAAGACATTTCTGTATTCCGTCCTGGACCCACTGTCATCAGAGTAGGTAGAGGAATGCCTTTAAATAAGAGTCAGAGAAGCTTTGAGTCATGTGGCCAGTTTCAGAGCTTGGCAGCAGCAATGTGAGATGAAGAAACTCTGGTGCAGGCAAGCTGTAACGTGTCGAGTCCTCAGGCCTAAAGTCTGCAGCAGTTTACTCTCCACATAGCACAGGAGGAGAGCTTCTTCGGGACCAGGGACCTGGCTTTTAAGCCACAGCTCAGGGCACAAATATCAGTTAACAGCAATAGTCATGATAAGGTTATGGGGAGAAGTGGTTCTCATATGCAGTCCTCTTTCACAGTTTGGGTCTCCTCTAATACACACAAGAATTTAAAATTTGGTGCAACTTTGTCCCTATAAGTTTTTAGTAAGTATTCCTCAAACTTGTTCCCCTTGCGTTCACCTTTGCAGAGAGGATTTCGTTTCCGTTATGTGTGTGAAGGCCCCTCCCACGGAGGACTCCCCGGTGCGTCTAGTGAAAAGAACAAGAAGTCCTACCCTCAGGTCAAAGTGAGTTTGTGATGTCTTTCCATGTGAATCCTGGAAGATTTGGTGTCCTCAGAGCAAAAGAAAGGAATGCTTCCAATAACTACCATTGCCTCTGCTTATAAGCTGAAGTGTTCACCTGATTATTTATAATATTTATGTAGAAATGTGTCTCATAGCAATAGAAGTGACAGATTCTAAAACTGGCAATATCTCCATTTAGTACAAATTATCTCAACATTAACAAAACTTTTATTATTTCTTGATTATCTTAAAAAACTTGTTTAGTTGTATACTTCCTAAGACTTGAAAAATGCTTTGAGAGAGCACCCAATTTCAGCTCTTTAGAGATCTAGCAAAAAATAAGACTCAGAAGACTGTGTGGATTATATAGTAGAATACCTCGGATCATGAATTCTGATCTAGACTCTGCTACGAGCTGTGTGCCTTTGCCTGAGTCATCCAGCACTTCTAAACCTCAGTACCTGAGTGTGCAAAATGCAGACTTGTTAAGGGTCTGTGCTTGGTAGTCTTCTAAAGATTGAATGAGCAAATGCACCTCAGTGGTCCAAAGGGGCCTCTGCTTGAGCAGCTATTCGTCTACACATGATGGTCCTTGGAACATACTGCTTCATGACATGCTGTGGTGGGCTTAGCTGAGCCTTTTCTACTTCTTCAGGTTCTTTTTCTTTCTTTATATTTAATTGAGAATATCTTCTGCTGAGGTAGCTTGAGTTTTTTATTTTTATAATGTGATGTCATGTTTCATAGACTGATTGCTAACAGTTTTGCAGGTAAACCAGTCAAATATTGCAGTTTCATTTTTTATAAACATTTCTCATTTGTACAAGACAGACCCTTAGTAAAATTGTGATATCAAAGAAATTGATCTTTGGTTTTGCCAGCCTTGCATTTTGTTCCCTCCCTCTCTTCATAGCCCACTTCTAGGCTCAGGCCTTTCTAATTTCTTTTCCCTGGTCCAAAACAAAATCCTTGATTCTTTACCTCTTGAGTAATATTGTAGTATTAGTCCTATCCATTGTGTTTGCATTTTAAGTCTCCTATCCAAGCTCTTGTGTGGAATGAAAGATGTATTTCCTGTTCAGGATTATTAGTCAGGATAAATATGGGTTTAGCCACAGATATATGGTCTCTGGTCCTTTAAGATCTGAATGAGGAAATAAGAACAGCAATATAACAAGGGAATTCGTGTATATTAGGCACCAAAGATTTGCCAAGTGCTTTACATACATTTCCTCCTTGGAGGAAAGTTATGACCGACCTAGACAGCATACTAAAAAGCAGAGACATTATTTTGTCAACAAAGATCTGTCTAGTCAAGGCTATGGTTTTTCCAGTGGTCATGTATGGATGTGAGAGTTGAACTATAAAAAAAGCTGAGCACAGAAGAATTGATGCTTTTGAACTGTGGTGTTGGAGAAGACTCTTGAGAGTCCCTTGGACTGCAAGGAGATCCAACCAGTCCATCCTAAAGGAAATCAGTCCTGGGTGTTCATTGGAAGGACTGATGTTGAAGCTGAAACTCTAATATTTTGGCCACCTCATGCGAAGAGCTGACTCATTTGAAAAGACCCTGATGCTGGGAAAGATTGAGGGCGGGAGGAGAAGGGGACGGCAGAGGATGAGATGGTTGGATGGCATCACCGACACAATGGACATGGGTTTGGGTGGACTCCGGGAGTTGGTGATGGACAGGGAGGCTTGGCATGCTGCAGTTCATGGGGTCGCAAAGAGTCGGACACAACTGAGCAACTGAACTGAACTAAAACTAAAACTCTCATACATTATCTTTTCTATCCTCATAACAGCCCTGGTAGGTAAAAAGTCTTAATACCTGTGAGGAAACCGAGGCTCTTAAAAGGGAGCCCTGCGGTCCTCACGGGACTAGTGGCGTGTCATCCTACGGCAGACTCTTGCTCCTTGAACTGTTATGTGGAACATGTCCATTTGGGAGACTGGGGGCAGAGACCTAGGGAACAGGACATGGGAGGATGGTAGTAAGATAAGACACAGAGTTGTAACTCTGGGCAGCAAGAGAGAGGAGCTCAGGAATAATGGGTACTCAGATATCAGGGAGTCAAACCCAACACATGTTTGTAACAGCGTGTCTGTGTGTCCTGTATATAAACACTGTATGTGTTCATATGTGTGATACATGTTATGGGCACTGACACTGATTATGATTGTAATTACTGAAGAATTTAAGAGTAAAACTGGGAGTTTTTTTTTCCTGGACTGTCTCTGTACAAACAAATATAAATTACCATGTTGTCAAGTGTTGACTTGTATTGCACCAGTCTTTTGTAGCTAAGTAACAGTTCTTGATACTAAAAGACACATAATAGTAACTTTGTTATAAATTTGTTACCCAATGGAAAAAGCTTTATATATCCTATTATGCTCAGTCTTCATACATCCTTCTCATGTAGTGGTTGATGCCTCACGTTTACAAAATAGTCTAGAAATAAAACAACCTAGTGGATATTCGATGTTTTTCTCAAATCATAGTTTATGTATCAAAGAGTTTAATACTTACTGAGAAATCTAGATATGTAAGCTAATACTAAGGTAGTCAAAATATAAATGTGTATGATTAGTCATTATTGACCTTCAGCTGCAGCTTCACTATTTCACCCAATTGTTTTTTATTCACTAATTTAACATATATTTATTAAGCATTTAATCCAATTGTAAGAAAACAGCAGTTCAGAGAGTTTGTTACAAACTATCACTGTTCTCTTAGCCTGTCTCACTCACTGAAAGTTTGTAATAGTTAAAGGAAGTAATTTTATTTATCATAGAAGCTCTTAATCAGAAGAGCTGATATGGGGAGAAAAGAAAGAGTCAATCAAGAGGTAGTTTTCCCAGAGCTGTCTTCCAGTATCACTTTTAATACTCTTTTTTACAAAGGATAGTTAAGGGTGAACTTTTGGTTTACAAAGGGATATAAATCCCTCTTACATGTAAAATTTAGTCAAAGGAAGGAATTGCTCTCAGCGTGTGTCTTTATCGGGAGGATCGTCACAATCATACATGTCTGCAGCAGTTCACGAAGCACCCGCCCCATGTGAGGCTGCAAGAGAAGTTGTGTGACAGATACAGCTCGATCAGGGTTTCTCACTCATCACTACTAGTGTTTAGGGTGAGAAGACTTCATGCTTTGGAAAGTTTTCTGCTTCACTGGAGGGTATTCCGCAGCATCCCTGACTTTTACCCACTAGATGCCAACAGCAGCGCTATAGTTGTGACAGCCAGTGTCTGCAGACGTTGCCACATGTCCTGGGGGCAGAATCACCCTGCTTGAGCACCACTGATCTAGATGCAAAGTCTAATCAACCTTAACCCTTCTTCTTTGCATACTTTCTGCTATATAAGACAGTAGCTCATAGGTTATATAGAATTGCGTCCATCTATTATTTTGCAAACATATGTACTTTTCCTGATTATTACATGTTTATTTTCAAGATGATGATCATGGTGACTCTATAATTTCTTTTAGAATGTCTGAGTTAGTGTGCCTGGATATTAAGGAGAAAGATAGAAAAGAGAAGAAAAAACATATCCTAAATATTCCGTATACTGTGATAACTGCATACCCAGCAGTTAACATAGAACCTCTGTTGATTCTCCGTTATAACTGTTACAGAAGAGAAAGTGAAAGTGGAGATGGGTTCAGTCAAGGCTGTAAACCTGTGTAGCTGCTGTTGAGAGCAGTGAGAACATCTGTGCAGTGGTCTCAGCCTCCCTTCCTGTAGAGGGAGGTGTCATGGACAGTGCCCCCACACTCTTCCCCAAATCCCATTTCTGCAGGAACTTCAGAGGGAGAGCATTTACACTTACAGGAAGGAAATGGTATTTCTGAAATTTACATATGATACATGTTTATTAAAGTACATTTGTTCAGGCTTAAGAGTGGAATGTTCTGGGCTCTGCCTTTTCCTCCTCTGCGGCCACTTACCTTCCTCTCTCTCCTCCAGCCTCACTTCCTTCTCTTCTCATCATGCCTCTGGGAGAGCAAACCATGTCCTGGAGAGGCCCCTGGACCACTGGTGGTTCAGCATGCACTCGCTCTCACATAGGAGCAGTGAACTGTTGAGGGCCAGCCCCAAAGCTATGGGGACTGGCTGTGGTTTGGGGGCTGCAGACCCCCAGCTGTGGTTTATAGAACTTGTAAATATATAACCTGCTTGGGTTTGTCTCTTACTGATTGTCCAAATATGACACCTAAAGTTAAATCATTTTACAACCAACTCTAAGAGTCTACTCCAGTTCTCCATTTGCCACTGGAATTTTGTCCCATGCTTAAACCCCATTTCCAATAAGCTGAGTGTAGGCTAGGCTTAGACACACTCTTACTGTGTTGAGATTGTTTCTAGGATTAGGGCTATTGAACCATCTGGTGTTCTGCATGTTTCTTTCATGTCAGTGGATGCCATTTAGCTTTCAAGAGTTTTGCTGTGTAAACCTTCACATTCTTTTTAAAACATTGTTTTAATTATAAAAAATTCCATGTGTATAGAACATTTAAAAATTGATGTAAAGGACACCATATACCACTACCTGATTTAATAGGGACAGTCAGTATCCTGGAGGATTGTTACTACGATCCCCACAGATGCCGTAATTCATGGATGCTCAAGTCCCTTTTTATAAAATGCAGCAGTATTTGCGTATAATCTATGCACATCCTTCTGTATACTTTAAACCACCTCCAGATTATTTTAATGCCTCATACAATGTAAATACTATATAAATAGTTACCAGTGTGCAGCAAATTTATTTTACTTTTTGGAACTTTCTGGAATTTAAAACATATTTTTTCCATCTGAGGTTGGTTGAATAACGAATGTGGAACCTGAGGATACAGAGGGCCAACTGTATTAACGTTTTACTATATTTTCTTCTGATCTGTTTCTAAAATAAAACATAGTTATTGCTGAAGCCCCACCCATTGATCATGTTTCCCTTGTTCTTCATAGGTAAATCACTGCTCTGAACTTTCC